CAATAAGACATGCCGAACACATAAAAAAACCTTTTTTTCTAAATATCGGTCATCTGAAACTGCAAACTACTCACCTAGAACCAGTAAGAGCTGAGGTTAAGTTTAAGGCCTCCATAAAATAATATTGTGCGAATTGAGAGAGTGAAAATGTTGATAGAATAAACTCACCAGAAGTCAGGGCAATCCATCGGTCGGTCAAGGGTTTTCCGTGAGATTCCGATAAACGAAAGCACTTCTTCATTCGCCAAACCTTGATACGGTTGTTGGCCCAACGTTAACATTTCATACAATACGATACCGTAAGACCTAAATATGTTATGATTGGAGGAGCTCGGCATTATAAGAATATTGAACGCGGTCGTTGATGCTCACCAAACATCGCTCTTCATGTCAAACGTGCCGTCACGCAACGATTCTGGCGCCATCCAGCGCACAGGCATCAAGCGTTTACCGTTCGGTTTGTAATACTCATGATAGTAAATATCACGAGCCATGCCAAAGTCACCTATTTTCACTGTGTTATTAGCGTGTACCTGTAAAATTATTTCATTATTTTGAAGGAAAAAAGCTACTGTGTCAACACAAAAACCCACCATGCAATTTCTTGCTGCAAGATCACGATGACAGAAACGAATCGACTCCAAATACGCCATTCCGTCAGCGATTTGCGCAGCCCATTCGTAGTATTCGGCTATTGTCGGCACTGGCAGATTGTCCACATTTTCTTCGGCACCAGGACGTCGAGATCGCAAATAATCGCGAAGATTACCCTAAAGGATAATGCTTGTAGCCATTCTTAAGAAGTTTCTGATCTGTTTGCTTTTGGAAACAAACAAACCACTTCACCGAAAAAACGCAACAGTGTAAGTATAGTCATAGGGGCGATGCATCAGACGTAACCGACATACCGCTTACAAACAACGATTTGACCATTCCTTTAACACGTCCTTTCATATCCCCTATAAGGGCACATTCATAGCCGGTCGCAGGGTCGGTCCTATCGTTGCTACTTTTCAGAAAGGTTTTTACGGCCCTCCTATGATGTTTTATTACGACCCTCGTTCGAAACAATTGGTTTACCCAAAATTTCATACTTCGAGCGGGCGAGGTGGGGGGGGGGAGTTAACGATAGCGTGAAACACGATCCCCACCTTCTACAAACGCACAAAATACGGACCCCGCATTGCAAGTCCTGTTACAACCATGGTTGGACCCTGGGCCGGTCGTCGAACGTTCGATAACACCGCACAGTGGCATATAGTCGGTCAATTCTTGGGAACGTCTGAAGATACGGTGCTTTGTTAACGATCGTCAGACACCACTATGGGTATCGTCCCTAACAGGCCTTTCTATAGAAAATGGGCGCACATTATGCACACTGCGAGATCCTTCAATGTTTTTACGTTCCCACTCATTTATGCGATTTTTGTGCACTACTGTATTTTTCGGCTTCTGTGCCATTATAGAGCACCATAATTAGCAATTTTTCAGGAATTGCACCCAAAATCATCGATCGACGCAAACGATCGCAAACTATTATTGGAGCACACCCACAGTTTTCGGCACTCAATTTTCAGAAAGTTCCGGAATGAGCAGGAATGTGATCTGCACTATTGAGGTTTCCCGAGCTGGGATCGGAACATACTTGGAAAACCGAAAGCCAATAGTTACCCCAATCTCCTTCGCCGCCGGAGCAATAAGGACTGTTCGAATCGCACGCTAGATGGCCAAAGATATCCATAGCATGTGGAGACAAATCACTTGCTCAATTTCACTGGCTTCAAGAGCACCATCTAGACTTCCTCATGATCGGCCCAGACACGCCAGACAGAGAAGATCCAAGCTTATGCAATCCTTGATTCACCGAATTCAGCAACTAGCTTCCTTGCCTCAACTCTTGAATTTGCTCGACTAATGTGCTTGTGAAGTGGTGGGATCCGAAGCCTGCAGACGCTTCCAGGGATTCAAAATCTCGGCTGGTTGGTCTTTGAAGGGTTAGTTTAGCTTCAAAACATCGGTGTTTGTCGGCCACGAAGAATGCGTTGTCAAGCGATTCAGGGCCCCACATCGGCGGTGGTGGAGGTATATTCGATGATTGTCCCTCTCACTGAACGAGAAGTGTTGTGTTCTTTACAATCATGACTATAGCCCATGAGTTATTTGTCACGTTCGGTTTTTACCTGAGCTTCCACCATTTGAGACCACCCTGTAGACTTCACACTTTGCAGGTGACTGCCCTAACAAAAAAGCAGCGCAAACTGCTCTCCACTCCAAAGTGCTGCCGACGCTCACATTCATATTACGCCTCTGCTGCTCTTTTTCTGTCTCGCTTCTCCCAAGAGTACTTGGACGTAGTCGGCCATCTCACGAAACAAAATAGGTGACACAGCTCAAAAGAACAGCAGAGGTCGCATGTTCGCCCACCAAAAAGAGCAGTCATTCCCCTAACAAAACCCTGGCCAAGGGTCAATTGTATGATGCGACAGTGTAGATTTCAGTACGCATAAACGGAGACCTAAAATATCCGCGAGAAACGAAAACGAAAATTATCACCTTTTCCATCATTTCCATAACCACTAGCACAGGCTGACCATCTGACACGACACCATATAACTTGACGATGAACGCGTCTGCTGAGAACGACTTCATAACGTTGGCCTCTGAAACGTATATTTTACAAACCTCAAACAAGTTGGTGAAATAAATTGACCTTAGTTTACT